TTCTCACCATGAGTAAAAAAAAGTTAGATCTTTACGTGATCGATGGATTAGGCAACTTTAATTGTACAGTCATTCTGAATCCGATTTACATTTAACGTTGCCTCCTCACCTATGTGGAATAAAATCGCTGTAAGTATGTAAAATAAATAGATTAGAAGTAGCCTTGTGTTCCGTAGAAGAGATTATCTTTATTTTTGACACAAGAGGAAGTTATTTTTACTTAAATTAAAATAAGGAAAAAGTTCTGACTTAAAACGCCATTAATTAAGTTTAATATTTGATGTGCAAGCAATGTTTCTCTATTAGCAGTTAGCGAATCATACTTCTTTTGTAGAAATAGGCGATAGAAATTTAATGTTTATGATGAGCATTATTGTCACTTTTGAGTCCATATTTAATCAAGTGCTGAAACTATAAAAAACCCTCAAAATCTGAGTAATATGGTAAAGGAAAAGTAGCACCGCCGGCGTATTCCTAATGTAGAAAGAGCTCAGACTTGTGCCTTCAAGTTAGTAGGTTGAAATCGTGTTCTACGAAACTTTACATGCAGTTCTGAGTAAAATCAAATGATCTGGTTTCTAATTTGATCTGTAAGATTCGAGTCTGTCATTTTAACCTGCGGGATCAATTTAATTTTTCCGTACAGATCTTTCATTTGGATCACGACCAAACTCTGCTCTGTTAGAGTGGCGTATTATTAACGTTATCATTTAAATAATGAATAACACTTCTTCTTTTAACATTACATACTTTTTGCTAATTTATGAAAACATGTCTTTGTTGCGTTTTAAAAATAATGCGTAACAAATGGTGGCCATTGTTAGGAGTCGATTCCATGTGCTCTATCTAGGGAATTCTCCTTAACTCTCGTTAGAATTTTGGCACGTAATTCCTGAACTGCTCGTCGAACATTCGGTTTAGCTGTTGTATGTTTTGTGGCTTAGTTTCGTACTCCGTTCCTTTTAAGCAGCACGGAAGGGGAAAAATTTAGGTAATTCAGCGATGGTGAATAAAAATTCGAAAATTGGGGAGTAATGCGAAAGTCAAAAATTATCTTCATGAGAAATTTCGTTGAAAATGTTGAGCCGTTGGTAAATTGTTGAAGCATTAGGTGCATTAAGGTTTCTGTATGCTCGTTGCCTAAAAAAATCGAATAGTTTTCTTCCTTTGTTTGGTGGTTAACCTTTCCATTATCAATTCTCCAAGAATTGTGTACACGAGTGTAAAAGAAGAACAAAAAAACGCAATACAGGAAGATGTTATTAAAATGCGTCGTCCTATAGTTAGCAATAAATACTCATGACACTTGCTTTTATATTCCCCTTGAAAGGCTGTAATAGACTATTCCATCTTATTATCCGTGAAGGACATATTTTATTTTTATTTTAAAATTAAAGTCCCCTTTCTGTTTAAAAATAAAACATTAATGATAATGAATGCAGCTCATGTGAATGACTTTGTACAGTTTGACTCATGTGGAAGACATTATACGTACTCGCTTAATTTCAAAATCCTCTTTTCTAAACATAAATACTTTTTTTGCTCGCATAAGTAAGTTGAATATGAAGGCAGTCATTTAGCTATGATATTCTACGTAAAAGCATGAAAATTCTATTTATTGTCCGTTATAAAACTGAACCAATTCCTTTGAGTTATTTTTGGTGTTTATCAGCTTTTAGTCATATGGGATTTGCCGCTAGCGAGGAAAGTCTTAGCTTATGCATAAATTCATTAGATCACTCAAGTGCCTACTCAATCAAGGTAAAAATTATTTCTCCTCAGTGATAACGTCATGGGGAAAAAACATTCTTTTCTGCTTTACTCGATAAATCTTTCAGGCTTTGCAAATTTTCTAAGGTCGTTAAGCCGTAAATACGCTAGCAACTTAATTTATCACTTAACTATGCAATTTTCCCAAAAGCGGAAATATTTCATGGTGTTTCGAAATTGCTTGTTACTTTTAAGGTTTAATAAAAACGTCCTATTTAAATAATGTAAAAATTCATAATGTAAAAATTGTTTTTGATTTCTGTGCAAGGCTATCGTTTGCTGCGATTTGCTTAAATTTAAAAGAACATTGTTTGCTGTTAAACATTTCCGATATTAAAAAAAATAGACGATTAAATCCGACAGCATCATTCGGGAGAAAACGAAGCAAAAGTAAAATAATTCCAAATCCTTATTGCTTTAGCTATCATCTGGAAGTAAGAAATTGCATTGGTATATTCTTAATAGCATCTGAAGTACAAGTTACATGATATTATGTTAAAAAAAAGAATCGTTTAGAATTATAGAATTGCATAAATTAAATGGTAAAATGGCAAGGTTTATTTTAATTTACTCGCTATTTCTTATTCTGAACCTTTCCTTCACGTATACAGTTTCATCTATCGCGTAAAATAACATAAGTGAAGTGTGTTTAAATAAATAGCAAAACTCTGAGTTTAAGCTGAAAACTAAGCTTTCAGTGGTTAAATTCTTCTAGTGATGCATTTAGTGCTGTCTTACGAGTTAATGAGTTTAACTGCTACCACATTAGAAAGCGCAGGGCATGGGAACCAGTTTATGAAGCTGTAACTTCACTTATAAATAGTGTGGAAGGTTGTTGATTGTTCAGCCCAAAAGAAATGGTTTTAATCCCATTTTAGTTTCTGTCGTTTCAAACTGAACAGCAAATAAAACTTTTAGCTGTTTTTACATCGTTGGAATTGCATAATACTCTGGCACTGAAAAGTAAACAAGAGCATTTACAAAGAGTGTTTCAAAACGATTGCATGCCTGACTATCTTTTGACAAAAGAATCGTAAGCCATAGTTCAGTTAAGTTTCAGTTAAAAGCGATATGCCTAAGGGGCTATTAAATATATACTACGTTTAACGAAATAGCATTATTATCAAAGAAAAAATATTAAACTTATTAATTTGATTATAAAATGACATGTGTAAATGTAATTAATAATTTACGTTTCAGGTTGAAAAAGCTCGGAATTATGTTAGAAAACTGTTGTGTTTACTACGGCCAGTTATTATAATAACGGAAACAAAATTTACGGAATTTACTTAGCAGAAAGTTGATATGAAAAAGTAAAATTCAGTGCAGCTTATGAAAAACGCATAGGAATTTATTTAATATTTGTATCTTCAATCCCTTAGGCGATTTCAGCCATTGTTAGGGTTGAAGTAGGGAGAGATTTACCTTCTGGTTCCTAATATGAAAATAAATATCTTACTTTAATGCATTTGAAATTTTGTGTACTTTGTCCTAGAATGGATAGTACTAGTGTAGGTGGTATTAATATTAAATCACCAGAAAGCTAAATAACAATGGGCTAGATTTTAACTGCACGCCAAAATTATGTTGTATTTTCCAATGAATACGTAGAAAGTTGATCAAAACTCTAAACGTTTCCCTAAAAGTTTAAAAATTTCAATTATGAAAACTGAATAAGATTAAACTTCTATATAAATATATATGTATAATTAAAATAGAAATTGAAAAGCTAATAAGTAAAGTGTGGTAAGACCTATTTGGTCTTAAAAATTTGCGCAAAATGCTGCAAAAATATGAAATAATAGGAAAAAATATTGTAGAGAACTCGCTATAAAGTTACCAGAAACTGTGGCTCCAAAAAATATTTCAACGCAGTATTTTTTAAAAAAATATTAACATGGAAGTAATTTTTAAAAATATTAACATGGAAAGGTGAGAAAACAGCCTACACTCGAAATAAAATACAGAACATAAAACTGTTAAAATCAATTGTTGGAAACATGTGAATGCACAAAAAAAGAGAGCAAAACCTATCGATGTGATATGTGAAAAGTTAACAAATATAAAAAAAACTGATGGACGGAACAAGTTAAAACAAAATTAAAACATAAAAATAAAACATAAAATGCAAAATCTATAAAAATTATAAAAATTACAAAGCGGAAAATGGTAAATTAGCCCAATTGGACCTCCAACCAGGCTTTTCAAGGGAAAATTAGTTGAATGTCGAACCAAGCTAACACCATTACGCGTTTCGCCGAAACAGACAATTGAAGCTCTTGTTTGACGAAAAAAATTTTTAAATGATATGAATTGTCCTGAAAAAATCTTTTTCGAGCTTCAATTCTCTGTTCCATTTTCCCGACGCGTCCGCAGAAAAACACATTAAGAAAAAGTAAATGCAACACCGAGCAAAACAAAATTAAAATTAAAATAAAATAAATAGCGGTCTGCTATTAGTCAAATTATACAATAACGTACGGGTTAAAGCTTAAAGAATAAAACCTTTATAAATATTATGGTTCTGAAATCAAAATCCAAAGAAACTAAATACTAATGTAAACAAACGTCGTGGATCTTGCTAAGACCAAGAAAAAGATTTAACCCGGTGGAAGGCGCGCGCTAAACAGAGCACATTTTGGTCGCGCGGGGTACCTGTATAACCCCACCGATAAATTTAAGCTTAATTCAATATACACATATAAACTTAAGTGCAAATAAATTGAAAAGGTATAAAATACAGTTTTTTAGTATATTCTAAAGCATGAATATTAATTTGAAAATATATTACGTTAATTTCTACTACTAATGTTTATAGGAAAAAACTTACTCAATTACAAAATAAAAATCAGTTACATACCTTTATTGAATTTTAAACACATTTGTCACAAACATAATTAGAGTGATCCTTGCAAGTAAAATTTTGGCATTTCATACAAGAAATTGTTGTTTTTTTGTCCTTAGCTCGAGGACATATTGTACATCGTCCTTTACCAAGCTTCATTCTCTTTGGCAAGTTCTCTTCAGAAACGGCATTCCTTTCTGTTGAGAAATTCTGATTCATTTTCTCTCGTAATTCTCTGGGTAACATTTGCAATTTTGATCTCCTCTTTATTTGTGGGTTTACGAGAGATAATGCCAATGTTTTCAAAACATTCGTCTACTTTTATACTGCAAGGGAGGATTTTTAGTAGACATAAGTGACACTCGCGCGTTTATACCAGCCACGTTCAAAAACACAGTAAAAAATCACCATAGGCCACCCTGTTTGTTTTCCTAGCTGTTGAATAAAGCGTAGACATTTCATCAACAGTATCTACTCCTCCTTTCGTTCCATTGTAGAAATGGATTATTTCTGGCTTACTTTGTTCAGAGTTTTCATCTATCGTGTCATCATGATGCATTGTAGACAGAAGAACTACACATTTCGATTTCTTTGGAACATATGATACTAATGTCATGTCTTTTTGGAATCCAAACATGGAAGAATATACTTCTCTTTTCTTTGTTTCTAAAAATTCAGCAGGAAATTACAGCTTTATTTTTCTTCAAAGTTCCCACTACAGTGAGTTTCTTTGATAGGAGCTCTTTTGCTAGCGGGTAACTTGTATACCAATTATCCATGGTTATATTCCTCCCAGATCCAAATAATGGAGCACAAAGTCGTTTTACGATCTCAGATGGCGAATAATCAAACTTTTGAAAGGACCATCCGATTGTTTCCCCGCATAAATTTCCATATTATATGTATAATATGTCCTGGCATCGACTACGGCAAATAATTTAATTCCATATTTTGCCGGCTTTTTCGGCATATACTGGCGACGAAAAGCACATCGGCCACGAAATTTCTCCAACTTTTCATCTATTGTAACATATTCACTAACTGAATATATTTCTTGACATTTTTTATTGAAATCGCTGAAGAAATCTCTCACAGCTGCCAGCTTATCCAACTGTCTTCGAGCTTCGCGATCGTTTACATTGTCTAATCTCAAGCACCTTAGAAGAAAAGTGAATCGTTTGTAAGACATTGTCTTTCGGAATAATTCAATTCCGGTGCCATCAGCGTCCCACAAGTCTTTTGCATTAGCATGAGAAGATTTATGCAATCCGCATAAATATAAAAGACCAAACAGTGCTCTCATCTCCACTTCATCTGTATGCCTAGCATCTCGACTCCGTTGAAAATTTTCGGATATTTTATCAATAAAAATATTGGTGCAGTCCACAATATTTTTTATAATATTGAAATCCATAAAAAGTTCCCAACTTTCAATGGTTCCATAATACTTATTGCAACTGATTTCAGACCTGGTAAGTGGGTTATAATATTACAGGAACTGGTTCTTACCTTCTGATTCGGTTTACTTTTCTTCCAAACTGTTTTATTTTTTCCTATATAACTGTCACTTTTTTCATTAGATTCAAGCGTTTTTATTTTCAGCTTCAAACTCACTGTCGCTGTCATGACTGCTATAAATTTCTTGATCTACTTCATTTTCACTAGCAGTATCCATTTCTTCATCGGAAGTTTCCACAGTATCCAATAACATTCTCAAGTGTTCCATTTCTTTCATAATCTGTCATTTTTCGTTTGAGAGCCATTTTCGAACGACTACAGTATAGCACACATGCACAATCTATGCAAGCAAGAAGCTAAAGTGAGAAATTTCAGAAACAATCTGGTCACGGGGGTTCCCAGGTTACCCCAGTTGCATGTAGCGTTCCAAGAAATGATTGCTCCTCCCCAACAAAAGAAAAACACCTGCTGCTGGCAGGTGCTATTGAAAGAAAACCGTTTAAAAGTTAGCTACTGAAGGGCTGATTCATAGCGGATAAATAGAAATTCCAGAATGAAAGGTTTTATGAGGCTGGGGTGACTCAGTCACCCCGCGCGAGTGCTACCGGGTTAAAAAACACAAAGAAACATAAAAAACAGACCTGTGGCTGAGCCGTTGTCTTGATCGCGAAACACATTTGAAAATGTAATCCCCTCCGTGTTGTACAAAGCCATCCCTCTCGTCGTGTGACGTAGGCGGGTGAAACAATGTCATTTCGTATCAGCCAATGCGATTAGATCGTACTTTGGCGGGAACTCGTATCCCCCCGTGTGAAAGAGGGGTTGAAAGACTCGAAAAGACATGGAAAGAATTCAAAATGGCGTCAGTCAAGTTGTTAGAAGAATAAAACAGTTTTAAAATGTGAAAATGGCTAATTCAGCTAAGATTACTAAACATGGCCACAAAAGTAAGAGTAAAATGGAAAAAAGTCAATCGTTAATAAAAGTCGTAATTCTTCAAGCTAGAGGGCGATCAAGCTACAATGAAAAATGAAAAGGCCCGATTTGTTAATAAAAGTAGAATTTTGGCCATCTAAGTAATTCAAAACTATTAAAACAATAGTATTAAACTATTGTGCCAAAATCTTTGGAGGAAAGAAAATGTAGTGACAAGAATTATCTGTACATTTTTTACATTAGATTTTCTGAATCAGCGATCCACTTTATACCGTCCCATTGGGCTTTAAGTATAAAATTTCATTATCCAAATCAAATTATCTAAAAATTGGTAAGGCTAATGCCAGCTTTTTTTAAGGTATTTTTAATTATTTTATTAGGAATTAGGTTATTTTTCAAAATTGTCACGAAGTAAAGTATTTCTTCTTGAAGGTGTTCTGTTGTATTACATATTCTTTTTATTCTAAGTAGCTGTGAAAAAATTGTGTTTATGATGATTCTTTTGGAAATATTAGAATTCCAGTTGGTTAACTTTAGTGTAGAAAAAGTGAATTCTCTCCTCTTGTCGTAAACTTTGATAAAATTGTAATCAATAATATTAAGTCAAGGTAGACTACATTATTTTGCACCGTATTTGTGTTATTTAGTTTTAAGCAAGTGGGGGTAGATATTAGCAACTTCTATTTTGTTGTGGTTGTTAAAGGCAATGATATCATCAATGTAACGATATATGTGTTGGTAAAATTTATGTTCTTCTTTACTTAGTGAAAGGACAAAGGTCAAATTCTTTTGTAAAAAAGGAATGATTCACATACAGCACTGGAAAAATTACCTCCCATTGGAATTCCTTGAACTTGTTTAAAGATGCTATTGTTAAATTGAATAAAATTATTGAAAAGCACGCTTGAGAGAAAAAGTTGCCATTTTTCGGTACTTATTATTGTCGAAATTTGTGGAATAATATCCGGTAGAGCAAGTAAGCTTGTATATATTTCTTTAAGTGGTAAGGTAGTATAGAGGGTTTCGAAATCGTAGCATTGTATATGGTCTATTTTAAGTGAATTAATAGTGTTGGAGAACTAGCTCGTTACTTGAAGTCATCCAGTTGCAGTGTAGATCCTTAAAATCATAGTTATTAATTAAATCACGTATTAAACGAAGTTTTTATGTATATGTATCGCTTAAATAGAAAACTTTCTTTTAAAATATTAATTGGCAAGTACAGCATTTTGTGTTTCTTGGTTGGTTTGGTAATTTTGTCAAGGTTTACGGGAAATTTAGCAACTCAAGTAATTGTTTTTCATTGTATAAAAAGTTACATGACGACTTGAAGTTTGGAAAGTGAGAGGCTAGATCTTAGAGCTTAGTTTGAATTTGAATTTAAATGAAAAATTTAAAGCAATAGTAGAAAGAAATCAACAAGCCCTGTTCTCTGAAATAAATGGCAAAACAGTTAATTTATCAGTTTTTAAAATCATGATATTTATTTCTAAAATTAAATTTTCAGCTTTGAAAAAAAAATTAAAGGAGATGCTAAAGTGAAGAAAAACACGTTTAATTAGTAATCTAAGTTGTAAATTACAATTTTAAGAGCATTTCATCCATTATCCTGTGGCCTTACCATTGCACCTGTGCTTTCCTTATATTCTAGTGAACGAAGGCTTTTTCGACGGAAAAAATAGGTCGAGCCTTATAAATGTAGGATATTTGGAGTAACTTGTAACATGGAAAGTTAATGTATTTTAAAAGGAGCTTGAGGGAAATCAAGGATGAAGACTCTAAGTGTATTGAAATTTATCGTTCGATGAGCATTGTTCATTAAATATGACATAAATCAGCACCTATGTTTGTTACTATATTAATTATTTTGATCATGTTTTTATCTTGGGAAATATTTTACGACAAAATGAGCTGATGACGCAAATCTGTTTTCTCGTAGGAAGAATCATGTTGGCGCATGTATCTTTCTAGAGAAAATTGCTTGACGTATATTGTCCAATGACAGAAAAGATCGAAGTGCTTTTAATATGCAGGCCTCTTTTTACCGTTGCAATAATATTTCAAATATCAGGGTCACCTTATATTCAGGCAGATATCGCATTTTTTATTCATTTCCATGAAGATAATTTAATGTTGTTATTTTAAAAGTTGACATCATCTTTAAAGTATCGCTTGTGTGTTTCGTATAAATTTATAGCAAATGACACTTTCAAGTCTAAGACACCAAGACAAACTACAAAATGGTTAACATTCGCAATCAAATTTATTATTATTACAGTAATAGATAATCTTCAGAATGATCGTTACATATTTTTAATAAAAGTCATGACCGCTTCTAAATGACTAATTTTTTCCCTTGAAATTTATAGAAAGTAATATATTCGCATCATTCGTAATTGAACGAGAAAGAGCCCCAAATATTTTCGTGAAAAGGGTAATCTCAAAATTTTAATTGCACAAGATTACGTTATTAATAAAATTAGGTTAAACACCCTTCGGTTATGCATATAATTTGAGTACCATAATTAAATAAGAAGAAATTCAAATTTATTAGGCATTGCATAAGAAGTCTCTCTTCGCCAAAAAATATTCTAAATTGTAAGTTGAATTTGAACGATTTGTTCTAGAAAAATTACCAGAAAAGAACAGAAATAAAAGAGAGGCTCAGAAGGAAAGAGTACTTGATTGGAAGATCAAGGAAGCATGAAATAATACATTTAGACTCACGAACGTTTTTTCTACAAAGAGACACTTTTATGGACCGGATCTCCTGCCAGCTGATTTAATATTTCTGATCTTTCAAAGTCAAAGATGGGAGAAATAATTGGTCTTTTTTGTTCTCTTTTTCATTCTCTTTGACTATGCCCTTAGGTATAGAGATGCAGGAAATATTACAAGCATACGCATTTTGTCTCGGCGAAAAATACGATATGTCTAGGGCTTCGTTTGAGATTTTTGATAACTTCGAAGTCCAGTCATTGAAGGTTCAGACACATTTATTTCTATGGCAAAAATTATGGAATTCTTTTTCAGAGGCCAGCTTTACAATGAAAATCGAAGAAAACCTCAAAATGTTGGCACTTTTTTTCAGTGTTTCGCTTATAACTCGAAAACTAACCATTTATCAGAGATGAGTACTGTATGTAAATTACAGTGAGAAAGTTTCCTGCAAAATGCATGCAATAAGTGTAATGTTCGGACAACCTGCGACGATGCTAGAGCGCGCTGAAAAAAAAAATCACTTTTAGGCTCTCCGCGAAAAACACAGAAAACAACTTTCTAACTGTGTGGCGCCTTAATATTAACGTCATATGCTTGAAACTTACTATTTTATGAATACCTGCAATGCCTAGGTCACATTAAGGGAATTAATGAACATCAGTGAGGTACATGATAGGCGAACTCACTAGTTTATAGAAAATTGCGCTGCAACTCTCTTTGTTACATCTGCAAATAGCCAAAGAAACTGGAATATTTTGAGTAAAATTATGGAACAGTATACTAATTTTGTACGCTAGATTTTGTACTAAACTGGCAGATCTAGAGACAATGTGGAAGCGGTTAATTTTAACGTTTCTTGAGAACAGTATAGAGGAATGAAAATTTAGAATTGACGTACTAATGAATGAGATTGAAGATGACTTTAGTCCTCACCGAAAATTAGTAAACGCACGCCGTCTTGAAAAGTAATGTGATGATATTTGGTAACAGTTAATATGTATTATATTGTGCATTTCAAGGCTGCGGGCACAATATTATTATTGATTCATGGTATTAGGACAGGTTGCCATAGGATGATGTAAGGCTAAGAATTAAAACAGCTGCTGCTGTACCGTTGAGGATGCACGATCTCAAGAATAGCACATGACACGGTACTCTGCAGCGGATAGTTTTAGAAGGCGTTCAGTATCTCATTCCACAATCTCTTAAAGTTTTACAGATTATGTAATGTTGAGAAACAAGAAAGGAAAATCGAATGAATGGAGGAAGAAATCACTTTGAATGGCTGACTTACAGCCATAAGGCCAAAGTTAGAGATATCTCCTCTGAAATTGGAAGTTTCAGCATTTTTATATAGAAAATGCGGGTAGTAAAGATTACGAAATGTGCTGAGTTCGTTAGGATTTTGCTCATCATAAACGATCGCCACACATATTTAAATGGCCTCCATTATCCAACAATCTCTGACTCTTAATTAAAAAGCACTTTCTCAAATGGTGTATGATAAACAGTATCCACAACTGTATGATAAAAATGGGCACAATGAATGAGCTACTGAATCAATGTGCGAAATATTGATGGGTACATCATATTCCCCTCGATGGATGGCATACATTGTGT